GCAAAGATGCTCACAAGATTTTTGTTGAATGAAAAAAATATGAAGGTGATCAATCCTGGTTAACTCAATGGTGTGTGTGAGGAATCAGGGTGGGAGGAGAACAGAGAGGTCCTGGCATTTTCATGTAATGAGGCTTGGTAAGGTTTTTTGGACTCTTTGGAAAAGATGATGAAGATAAAGGGAGACTGATGAGAAGGGAGTGTTGGGGAATTCTGATCTCCTACTTACCATGTTTACATAGAGGGGCCTATTCACTCACAAGAGAGGAAAAGTGTAGGAGGAAAAAAATCTCAGCATCAATCTGCCTCCTCCATCATGACTTGCCATGGGGGGAAAAGCAACATATCTGACCAGTGAATATGGGTGAAGGAATGGAAGGTGAGCAGATGAGCAGACCTTTTACTTACCTAATGTCCTGAATCTAGAATGCGCACTTTCTCCTCCTCCTGCATGTGTAGGTTGTTTGCTCCTGCCAGAAGTCTATAACTGGCTAGTCTGGGGTGAATGCACTTCATTTTGGTGGGAGGTATTAATAAGCCCAAATGAGTCCATACTGCCAAGTCACATTTCAGTTCACTTTTATAATTAATAGAGGCAACCTTTTGCCCTCCATCTGCCTTATTTCTAATCTACTTCTCATTTGGTCATAAACCTGGATGAGGGAATATAAGGGTTTAACTAGTGATCATACCTAAAATCCCATCATAGTCCAAGCCAGAGAGTTTTTAATTTCCACCATAATGGATTTAAGAGACTTTAATTTCCACCATAATGGATTTAAGGGACCATAGGAAGGAAAATCTGGAATGAACAACATGACTCTTTTGAACACTATTTAATGTGTTGGGCAAACTATAATTGCACACACAGGGAAAAAGAGTTGGTTTGCCTTTGCGTATACTGAAGACTAAAATAGTATTAAGACTTTGTGGTAGACCTGTCCTTAAAGAAATAGGTGAGAAGGCAAAGGCAAGCAGGTAGACTTACAGAGCGCAGGCAAGTTGGTTACATCTTTCGAATATGGGTAGGGAAAGGAATCAAGTTATTACCAGATGTCTTTAAGGAACCGAGACAAAGGAGAAGTTAACGGATTTATCAAATATTCAGGTACCATAAAGACAGAGAAAAACATTAAGTTTGGGAGGGGATTGAGCAAATCTACTTCTATATAGGACATGCTTCAGAACAGAAACATCCACAAATTAAAATGTCTTTAGCCAAATAATAAACTTCTTGAGTTTGGTAGTACTGAGCACAGAAAAAGCTATTTTAGAGGGAATCAGTGGAAGAGATAAGCCTGCAAACCTTCCAAATTGCTATTTTCAATATTAAGTATTATTTTTCATCATGAAAAGTAATGAAGCAGTGAACTATGAGCCATATCAAAAGGTGTATTTTCAAGAGCTATTTTCTTAACATGCCTTTCAAATCTCCCAAAATGATATTGGCAGATTCCTTATAGACCCTGCTTATCTAGAAGGAAGTGGCCTTTTTTCCAGTAATAACATTTAATCAATTTCTAAAATCAGAATTATAATTTCTTTGGGTTGCAACCTAACAAAGGTATAAATAATTTAATGTAGCAAGAACATATTAAAATGGTTCCTATATACAAGCATTTTTTTTAACCTTCCTTTACAATGTCACAGACACATCAACATTTTGCTTTCAACAGGATAGATTTCAAACAGAAATCAAGGTTTGAACACTCAATTATTAAAATTCACTTAAGCACAGCAGGATGACAGACAAAACAATTATTTCACTTCAGAAAGGTACTGGACATTTACTGGGGTACATTTACTATAAGTTGGCTGCTTATGAAAATACGTTCCATTTCAATAAAAAGTGCTTACACTTATTTATCACTGGAAATTGAGAGTTCTGTTATACATTTGAACTCTGAGGTTAATCTACACTGATATTTTTATCCATGACCTGCATAAACAATCAGAATTCCCTTTTGTATTGTCTATTGGTTGAAGAAAAGAAAGTCAGCAGGGTTTCATTTACGTAAAAATTATAATTCCTACATTTCTCTAATGCTACTACATGATTCACTAAAGCAAAATCTGTATTAAACTTATAATAACATTTCGGAGATAAATGGTTTCCATAAGTCTGATTTCATTATGAACAGATATTCTTTAAAATAGAGCAATTGAACAGACTTGCAATAGAAAATTCCCCTCTCCTCACATAAGTTTATTTCATTTTTTATAAATTTAAGCAGTCTATGATTAAGTTGGCATTTCTATAATAACAACACTAAAATTCAAAGAGAAAAAATAACTAATAAATTAACATAATTAAAAATTAAATTTTTCACCGTGCAACTTAATATTTCCTTAACTCACACAATTCATATTATCAATATCTAGTCAATAAAAAGACAATAATTACTGTGAACTATTTTTTTTTGTAATTCCAAAGATTTTATGAAGTATATTGGGTACATGTAACATAGGTATTCATTTCATAATTCCATCTCAAGTTTTTAAAATATTACCTTCCAAATCATATAAGAAGAGTGTGTGTGTGGGGGGGAGATGGTTCTGACATTCTTGTAACTCATTTAAGAAATATTTATTATTTCCAGATCCTCTTCTGTATTTACTCTCAGAACGCTTGTTTACAAAAACAAAACTCTAGTTTGAATGACACCAAGGGGTGTCCAGGAAAGTGAAAGAGGGTTGACTGATCAAGATTGAGCCATGTGTATAAGTTGATGAGTAGGCAGAGAAAGTGGGCCGGAGAAGAGAGAAAAGCAGGCATGCAGAGAAAGGCAGGCAAAAAAAAAAAAATACTCCCCAGCTTTACATATTACAGTTTCAACAAATGAAGATAAAGAGTGGGGGATTTGACATGCTGCCCAGAAAGTGACTCAAACTCTATCCTAGAGTGGGGACATGAGTTTCATGGTAGGAGAGATATGGGGGGGTATGAGTTTCCAGGCCCAGAGAAAAATATTTAATGTATAATAAGTTTTTAATAAGTACTTTTGGATGGATTGACTATAGATAGATTTTATCAGTCCAGAGTAAATAAAATACGGCAGAGACTGCTCATTGTCTTCCCAATATTTTTTTTTCCTTTCTTCTTTTTTAGTAATAGAAAGTCCCCAAATTTTATCTGGGCCTGGATAAAGAGATTACATTTCCCAGCCTCACCTGCAGCTAGACATGTCCATATGACTGAGTTCTGACCAATGAGATGCAAGTAGAAACGATGCGTGCATCTTCAGGTCATGGCTTTAAAGGGAACCAGCTTGCTCCCCACTGCAGATGTGACTCCTCAATTGACATGCAGATGAAGACAACACAGGGGATGGTAGAGCAACAAGAGAAAAGGAACCTGGGTCCCTGGATGATCTCAAGGGACACAGGCACCACACTCCTTGGATCTCCAAGTCCAGGCTTTCATGTGAAAGAGAAATGAAGGGCGCCTGGGTGGCTCAGTCGTTTAAGCGTCTGCCTTTGGCTCAGGTCATGATCTCAGGGCCCTGGGATTGAGCCCATCAGGCCCCCAGCTTAGCAGGGAGTCTGCTTCTCCTTCTGCTCCCCCTGCTCATGCTCTCACTCTCTCTTTCTCTTTCTCTCTCAAATGAATAAAATCTTTAAAAAAAAAAAAAGGAATGAAAAATAAGCCTGTCTTGTTTTTTGTTGTTATTTGGTCTTGTTAAAATAGCTGGTTAAATTCCTAGCATGTTTCCACCCCTCAGGCATGGCTGGAAGCACAAGAGGGCATATATCAAATTTATTAAGTTGTAACAACCATCCAAGTAGGACTGACTTGAGTTGAGGGTGGCTAGCCGTATCACTTCAGAAATTTCTGGAATTGTTTAAAATGAGCATTTCTTATTTAATAGAAATAGTCAATAGTATAAAAAATTAAAAACTATTTTACTCCTGTATAGATTTTTTAAAAAAAATTTTATTTATTTGACAGAGAGAGAGAGAGAGAGTGAGAGAGAAAACATGCAGGGGGAGTGGGAGAGGGAGAAGCAGGCTTCCCGCTGAGCAGGGAGCCCAGTGTGGGCCTCGGTCCCAGTACCCTGGGATCATGACCTAAGCCGAAGGCAGATGCTTAATGACTGAGCCACCCAGGCGTCCCTTTTGTATACTCTTTCTATATTCATATATTCAGTCTCTCTCTTCAGTTATATCTCATTTATATTCTTTTATCACTGAAATAATTAAATCAGACACAAAGATAATAATACTAAGATCAAAGTAAAAAAAACTATAGATAGGAATGAGAAAACTAGGGAAGATATTTTTGTTTCTGCAGGAATTTCATACTTAATTTTGTGGTCAATTTGTTTTTTAAATAATACATAAACATCAATTCTCTGCCTTGATTTTAATAATATACTGCCATAGGAAATTTCCCTTTCAATGTGAAATAGGAGCAGTCTACCTCAGTTCATCTGGAAGACAGCTGAAAAATAAACCTTGCCTCACTGGGATTTGATTTTGCCAGATCTTCATATTAACTTGTTGAAAAGTTTTCTTTAAGACTTTAAATGCCAGAGGGGTTATTATACAAAATTTATTTGGGGATTGCATCTAATTTATGGCAACTTTTCGATTTCTTTAAATAAGAAACATTTAATCAAGGTTGTGTTTCTGAATTTAAAGCTGCAAGACATGGTTTCAATCATTCCTCAAATCAGAAAGAGAGAATAAAGAAGAGATTAAAAGTGAAGGGACGTGGAAATGAGTTACTACAGTTTTTCCTCTTCTCACTGATGACAGAATCATAATCTGTTCTTATAAATGCATTAACAACTATAATTGTTTTCCTTTTGGAAATAACCACCTATGTGAAGAGAACAAACATCACTGAACACTTGCGGAGCACTATTTTAAGGATATATCGTAACTGAAACATGTTGGGTACGGATTTTCATGTAACTGAAGAATCAGCAACCTGCAATTTAAGGAAATTGAATTTTTATTTATTATCATTTTTTATATCCATGACTGTGGTTCTCTTACCATCAATATCTTCATAAGAATCATAGGAATACTCTTTTGGAATCACTACAAAATCTGTTGCATCTAAGATAGGATTTTCTCCAAAAAAATCACCAGTCAGCGTGACTTCCACCTCCTGTTCTATCCGCTTCCTGGACTGACATTTTATGACAACTACAGGAGAGAAATATTTCCAGGTGAGATGGAAGAAAATGAATTATGTCATGAAAAATATCCTTTTGCATACTTTGACTTATTGTGTCTGGCATTAACACACACATACACACACACACACACTCATGCAATATCTATATACAATGACATTTTGGAAACAATTACGAATATTAAATAATATGTAAAAATTGCATGACAGAGATTAACATGGAAGATATATACTAGATTACAGAAGATTATATTAGGATGTAAAATTTGATTCAGGAACTCACCTAGTCATATCAATAATTCAACTGGTGGTCAGGAACATGTGAATTTTTCAGCTATCTGTATGTTCATTGTGGCTAATACCACTCTACCTATATAATAACGCTACAGCAAATACCTTCAAATAATTAAAAAAAATAAGTTCTGTAACATTTTGTAATAACACTTCAAAAATATTTCTTATTCTTTATTCCCAGGCACCTTAAAATTCATATTTAAATTATTTCAATAAAATATTTTGATTTTCTTTTCTAAACTGTTTTTAAATTTACAAAATACACTAACAGTTAAAAATAAAATTGTAATGAATTATTTAAAATTAATGTTAAAATGTAATTATAATATTAATTTAATATACAGCATTAAAACTTTATATATATTTTTAAAGATTTATTTATTTGAGAGAGAGAGAGAAAAAGAGAGAGAGAAAGCACAAGTGGGGAGAGGGGCAGAGGGAGAGAATCTTCAAGCAGACTTCCTGCTGAGCGGGGAGCCGATGCAGGACTGGAGCTCGACGCAGGGCTCGATCCCACAATCATGTCCTGAGCTGAAACCAAGAATTGGATGCTCAATTGACTGAGCCACCCAGGCACCCCTGAATCATTATATATATAATTTCAATGTTTTCTTATATCAAGTACAGAAGAAGTTGTCAGTGATCTTGTAAGAAACCAAAATATTGTGTCTATATACAACTACTAATTACACAAAGGAATATTAATGAATTCCTTTGGCATTAGCTCTATAATATCATGCAGCCAAGTATACTAGAGGCCACATAAATAAATATATTACTTCTCAAAAATACATTAGATGCTTGGGGCACGTGGGTGGCTCAGTTGGTTAAGCGTCTGACTCTTGATTTTGGCTCAGGTCATGATCTCAGGGTCGTGAGATCAAAGACCCGTATCAGGCTCCACACTCAGCAAGGAGTTTGCTTGAGATTCTCTCTCTCCTCCCTCTGCCCCTCCTCCCCTCTAAAAATAATAATAAATAAATCTTTAAAAAAGTATATATATATATTAGATGCTATATTTTTATCAATTCAGATGCACATAAAACCTAAATTTAATATAGGGGATAAAAGGGAATCATAATATAAAAATCCTTTAAAATGTATTACACTATACTGTTGTGGCATCAATATTAATATATTCATCTAAACTGCACAACTGGATAATGTCCTCAGATTTATGTTTTTTCACATTACACACCACATTTATAAATATCTAACAAATTTATTTTTAATTCTAAAACGTACAGGTTGATATTGAACATTTTGAACTTAGAATAAGTAGTGAAATACAAGATGTAAATGAAGAGGGTTGAAATGATTGAGGAAAATGTACAGGCTTCTCTGGTTTTAATTAGCTTCAGCCTTAAAGCATTAAATTGGAAATTAGTGTGATCAAAGTTACAGTTAGTATCATGTCACCAGTCTTGTCCTCTAAGACCTTCGGAAATTAGTGCCCTGGCAATGTACGGATTACTCAATCACAATGGATTCGCATTCCGTTGTCTTCACACTGTGACAGTAGTAGAGTCCTTTTCTAATTATCTGCCCCAACGGATAGGAGCAAATAGGAATACACACAAAGAAAAGGTGGCTCACACAATGACAAGTACCCCGGGTTTAAGAATAACCTGAGCGACAGACACAGAAAAACAGAAAAGAAACAGTAAGCGTCGAAGGTGATGCAGCTGAGCAGGGAAAGCAATAGGTTCTGTCTAATGTGTTCATAAGAATGAAGGATGGACTGTACAGAAAGCAAGCAATATGTATTTATATAATTGTACTCATTTTTTTTCTCGAGGGCATTTGTAGACGAAGAAAATAATTACTAGAATAGGCTTTAGACTTCTGCTAAAATGATTTAATCACTAGTACACAATCTGTTTCAGAACACTGATGTTACTACTGGGGTGTGCTAAAGCAACACATGCTATTTATAGAACTCACACTTAATTTAAAAATCAAATAATTACCAAGAGAAGTGACTTGATGGAAAATGCCTTTTTGTTTCTGCAGCATGTTTAACTTTCTTTGACGAAAACAGTACAAGAAATTTACGTTTTATGTTTTCACAGGCTTTGTTTCAGACTGAAAAGAATCTGCTTTAGATCTTTAATCTGGGAAAAACAAAACTGTGTCTGCAGTCAACATGAGCAATGTTGCTGTTGGTATTTCAACAGAGTAATGTCTAGGGTTTATTACATCACTTTGATCACATGAGTGTATTATAAATTTTGCACCATTCGGCTCCATGGAAAGTATACAAACAATTATCTTCCAGAAGGAAATAAAAGAAACATTTTGGCATGTTTGTGAAGCATTCAGAGGATAATTTAGTATATTTGAAACATTTATGTGTTGATAATTTTTTAACTTAAGAGCAAAAATACTTCAAGTACGACAAATGACATTTACTGTCAAAGGTACTGCTAGATATGTGGATTTTAAAATTAAATGACATAAGGCAATATGTAACCTTGGCCTTCAGTGTATCTGGGGAAATGCTGTTATCCATGAGCAAAACTTACTATTTTCTCTTCTTCTGAAGTGTGGTGACATAATATATGGCAGTACAGGACTAACTCTGTTTCACTACCAAAGATCGGTACTGGAAGGAGAAGAAAAATTCAAAATTTCAAGACTTCTCTCAGGTCATCCGTACTGCTCAAGAGAGGGGCTCCAAAAGAGGTATCTCTTTGCTGGGCTGAGCAATTCAGCGTGACTTAGTTATGAAGAACTATGCGTAAGGCCTGGTAAGAGGTGGCTCTATGGATATCCAAGAGGAATTGCATTTCTTAGGCTTACTCTGGGAAGAAAATGGGAAAATCCAGGAATGCAGAAGAAGTGAGAAGAGTATTGAGGAAGGAGAACACACAGAAACTTGAGAGAAGTTTGCAGCAGGGGAAAGAAAAAGAGGGGTCGCTGAGAAAAAGAAAGGCATTTTAAGAGTAGGGATTTTCTGTTGTGTGTATGATAGGGAAGTGAACTTCCTTGAAAACTTCAGTACGTTCTGACTGGTTTTTGGATGACATCATACAAGTTTAGTGTCTGGGACAACAGAGAATACAGGGATCGGTATCCCCATAGGATAGTTCTTGGATGAGACTTAGAGCTACACAGAAGCTGGAATCTGGCAAATAAGTGTGACCCAAGAACCAAAGTACCTGGGAATCTTACAGACCTAGAGCAGGGCTCCAAGTACCCCACAGAATGCAGAATAAAGGGGCCTGAAGTTAATGTTATTTCTATCTTAGTTGATTTTGAGGTTTCACCAACAGGAAGAACAACAGGAAATGGTGTGGTTTGGTGGAAAGATCATTGGACTTACGATTAGGAGACCAGATTCAGTGCTGGCACTCCTACCAGTAGGGCTGTTCACTTCACGACTTACTTTCTCAGGACCTTAGTTTTCTTGCTTGTACAAGAAAAGATGGGATTAAAGGAGCCTCTAAGATCACTTAGAATCTTGGTGTTCTCTGACTCTAAAATATACGTACCTTGAGGGAATTTAGGATGTAGTGCCTGTGGAAGTCCAAGAATAGGGTATATCCAGTGTATCGCTTGGATTTCTCCACTTTCTATTCCCATAGTTCTAATGAGAAATTAAATTAGGAAGAGTGAACAAAAACAGGAACACTTTCAATATTAGCATAAAAGAGAATATTCATTATTAACTTAATGGTATTTTAGCAAAGCTCATGAATTTAAACTTTGGTAGAGAGAAACTATGAAATACAAAACACTTTCTGCAAATGTTAGGAACATTTCAAAGCAAACCCTGGGAAATTATCATAAAGAAAAATGTAACACAAGGATCGTGAGATGTAAGTTAAAAATGAAGAACTTTTCCCCTGCTTTTAAAAGTTGGTATTGGTATTTATTGATGAGACTAAAATGTGATTAATCAGAGGCAATACAGTTCCTATGGGTTATATTCTAAATTGGACAGGCCAAACACAAAACACAAAAAATGCCATTAAGTACAGTGACAAAGAATTTACTTTTGGGGGTTACCCGTTAAAAGAAAGAGGGCATTTGTCAAAATATTCTAAGTCCATCATACACCATCAAGAAAACAGCAATAGTACAGAATGGTTCTGGTCATTGTTGAAAATGGGCTTTCCTTGTTAAAAATGAAACATTAAGACAGAGCAGGCAGGACCAGCTTCACGAGCACATGACTTGAGCAACAAACAGCACAAGGACCCCACACCTAGAATTGTTCCACACTTGTTTAGTACACCACTGTAACTGTCTTGAAATTCTCAACCATTTTTAAGTGAGGGCCCCCTCATTTTCATTTCACACCAGGACTCACAAATACATAGGCAGTCTTGACTGTTGGAAGGGTGAACATCGTGGCAGAATGGACACTAATGGGCTCACAGAAAAGAATTGTTTTAAATGTGAAGAAATATTTAACGAAACTATAAAAGCAGAGAAGACATACACATTTTGTATCATTATTGGAGTTTGCTTAAATTTCAGTGAAGCAAAGAGGGCACGGGCACTCTGTATCCTGGTAGCGACACAGGTAATGGTAGTAGTCATGGCGGCATTTTCTCGGGGTGTCATACCCACCTGGCACAAGGCCATCACTTGGTGAATGCCAGCATCACCAGTCCCATACTCTGCCAAGACAAGCTGCTTCAGGTTGTTCTCTAGAGATTTATTACTTGTTGTCTCAGCAGTAACTATTTTCCCAGTCAAAAAGAGTCCCCTTGCATGTCTCTGATTCTGATTCATTGACATGATACTTAAGGTTGACTTGTTCATCACTCTGAACTTCAAATCCCTCTGAACGTCAAATGATATATACTATACCCATATAACAAATGTATTTTCCTCTTCCGAACATATAAATTTCAACACTTCAGAGAATATAAAATCATGAACTTTACATTGCATAACATGGAAAAGAAAGTGATCACGTCAGCGCCAGTCAAAATAAAATCATTTTCCTTCAATGTCTTTATTGAAAAGTTACCTTTTCATCTCTGTGCTCAATTCATCAAAATTGTCAATAGGCCAACTTTCTCTATTCGCCCTCATCATTTGAACAATGACCATTGTTCTGTGTAATTTCATAATGTGGGGCATAAATAACACTGTGATATCTATATTCCCTTTAGGAGGCAATGTGATTCCTGTAAAAAACACAAAAATAATTTTAAATGTGGTAAACATTTTCAGAATATAATTTTAACAGCCGAAAATAATCTCCTAATCCCCTTAACTGACTATCAGTTTTTCAAAATCACGTCTGAGCAAGAAAATGCTTTGTGCTAAATTATAAGCGCACTTCACTGGCTTCACTAATTTTCCTCAAATGCCATCAACCCTATTAAAAAACACATTTTATCCTGAGGCAAGAAGCTTCTCCTGATGACTCTGGAAGGGATGAGGAAATGTTGAAAGTGATGGCTTGGGTTTCCCAGAGTGATAAAAGAACCATGAAACCCATGAGTCTTTCCAAGTCTTACTACAAGATTTTATTTATTTAGTTGAGGTTGAGAGAGAGAGAGAGAGAGAGAGAGAGTGCATGTGCGTGTGCGCACGCACATGAATGAGCTGGAGGAGGGGCAGAGGGAGAGGGAAAAGAAGACTCCCCACTGAGGAGGGAACCCCAGGCCACAACGGAAGACAGATGCTTAAACAACTGAGCCACCCAGGTGCCCCCCAAGTCTTAGACTATATTGTTATTATGTTATGTTAATCACCATACATTACTTAGACTACATTTTGCAAAAGCCAAAGTACAGCAATTTTTGACCCTTTTAATACTTTGTGTTTGTTTTTTTTTTTTCCCCTGGACCATAACAGCTCCAGATTTCTGCTTGGAGTACCAAAATTGTTACCAGTAAACTGTTCATTTATTTAACTGATGATCCACGAGGGAAGCCAAAGCTTATGTGTGAAAGAAAGGGGGATTCACTCCAGGTTGTAAAAACCAGAAGACAGAAATACTGACAGCATTTTCTTTTGTTCTAATAAAATTCAAATTTTTCAACCTTTACATAAGAACCACCTGGAAAACTTGTTAGACAGGAGCCTGCTAAGCTCCACCTATAGATTTTGACTTATTCAGTCTGGGCTGGGGCCCAAAAGCTGCACGTTTAAGTAGCTCCTTATGCATTCCGGAAGCACATGGTCATGTGGCCACACTTTGAAAAACAATGTGTTCTACCTATTGGACAAGTATTGATAGGTTGGAAGCATGGTGAGCTTCTGGCTATTTAAAGCAGTGAGGATTTCAGAGGGATGGATGTCTTCCTTTATTTTGAAGAGTAACATTATTTCTTTTTTAATTTTATTTTATTATGTTAATCACCATATGTTACATCATTAATTTTTGATGTAGTGTTCCATGATTCATTGTTTGCGCATAACACCCAGTGCTCCACACAGAACATGCCCTCTTTAATACCCATCACCAGGCTAACCCATCCCCCCACCCCTCTCCCCTCTAGAACCCTCAGTTTGTTTCTCAGAGTCCATAGTCGCTCATGGTTCGTCTCCCTTACAAACATTATTTCTTTATAAGAAAAGATTATTAACTATATTCTGGTTATTAAAATTCTTTGTTATAAAATCAATGATTTTCAAAGCCATTTTGTCTCAGCTAAGAACACTGTACTAAACTATTAAGAACATCAAGAAAGGAATCAGAAAACGGCCCCTCTGCCAAACATCCCGACTCAAAATTCTTATAAATTTTTAAATTTTAAATTTTACTCCAGGAAATGAAAATGTTCTGTCTCATAGTATAGTTAATAATAGTTAATAATTAATATGATTACTACTTAATATTTATTGAGTACTTGCTATATCTCAGGCTCTGTGCTAAGTATTTTTCACACAATACCTCACTTCATTCTCAGAAAATCACTGCAAATTACACGCTACACTGTTTCTCACTTTAGAGGTGGAAAAAGTGAGACAATTGGTTAAAAAACTTGCCAAAGTCCCAGTGAAAGACTGTGTTGCTTTACTAAGATATCTAAACAATGTCTGCCATCTTCAACTTTGTCTTCATGAACTCTAGAGGCTTAATGAATCACTGCATTCAAATGGATAAAAGTAGCAAGCGGATAAGATATAGAGTTGGAATAGGAATAAAAAGAGCAAGAGCTGAGTCAGAATAAATCATCCATGCATCCCCAAGGAAATCAAGTTTAGAAATGATCATTGACCCTTACAAAATTCTATGTTATCACTAAAAATAGATTTCAGTATGACTAAAAATAAAACCTAGACATTTAGATGGTGTAAGGAGCCACGGCAAAGATACAAAAGGGTAATTCATTGCCAACATCATGCTTTCTTATAATGTTTGAATTGAAAGTATGGAAAGACAATGCTATGATAAATAAGCCCATTTAGTTAACAATCCAGTAAACTATTTGTGGCTGTAACGTTTTACTGGGTCTACAAGTAGAAATAGTTCCCTGCTGAAGTGATCGTAAGTCTCCTTCACTGTTATTATATGTTTGAATAGTAAGAATCACTGTGCTATTATTAACTTCCATGAAATCACTGAAATGTAACATCGAAAAGAACTTTGAGAATTTATCAAGTTCATTTTGTGTCTCACAACTGAGTTTTATTTTCTGTGGTTTTCCCATGACCCTGTGCAACACTCTGAGTAGAGACAGGAAAGCTGTCCTCACTTCTACCTTACAAAAAAATCTACCCATGTTTTCTTCTAATACCTATCTATATGCTTTCATTTTTATAGTTATTTGATCCATTTGTAATTTATCCATACATATGAAAATGAAGAAGAATGTATCCAATGTTACTGATTTTCTATATGGGACTAATAATACAAAACCACTTATTTAAAAATTTCACTGACTTGAAATGCTACCTTCATGGCATGTCCATATATATTTTACTCTTTTTCTGGATTCTCTAGATTTCTTCAGTCTTTCTTTCTCTTCATTTCTACATGCCACATTGTTATAATCACAGATGCTTTATTTTCTAGGGGGACTAACTGCCTCTTCCTCCAGCTCATTTTTTAAAAGAATTTTCCTACATTTGGAATGAACAGTTAGCTCCAGGAAATGGATGGGGTGGCAAATAGTACATTTAATAGAATCACCCTACATTTATACTTTTGGGATAACTGACATTTTTATCTATTCATGATCTATCCAAGAGGAAGCATATGGCCTTTATCTTGTATTTCTCATCTGGGCATTGTATTAGGTGCTTCTAGGTTCTTGGAATAGCTTTGCGGCCAGTTTTAATTTTCAGTCTTGCTAGAGGCTTATTTCAGCATCTTCATATGTATTTAGCAGGAAGCTGAGAGAAACCACATCAGTTTTTTTCTATCTTCTGACAAGGTAATCCAGCTAGTATGATGATTATTATTCTCGTTAGGTTGATAAACATATTCTAAACTCAAAACATTTTCTGAGCTTATCTCTTTCTGTTTTATCCCATTTCCATAAGGTAACCACACAAACTAACCACATATATATTTACTTTTTTCTATTACAGTTATCATTCTTCAAGTTCAAAACCCTAATAAGCATCTGGGGGGGAATGTGCACATTTTGTTTTATATAATTAATTTTATGGACTTAAATATTTTATGAGAGGTATACATTATTTATAGAATTTTCAAAACCCTGATAATACTTTATGCTTAGTGTCTGACAAACATTACAAAGTGTGATATTACTGTTTTGCCTTTGAAATCTCCTATGGCCTTGTTGCACTTAACATTCAAATTTTATTCAGTATATTTTAAAACTGCTATTTTGATTGCTCTTTTGATTAAAGGTGTTAGAAATATTTATGCACTGATCTCTCATTTGAAATACAGAAACTGTACAATGCTTTAATGGCTATGAGGTTTCCTGCCTTCTTAGAAGAAAATCTTCTCAAGAGAGTAAAATGAGCATAATCCTCATTTTAGTAATGAAAGTATTTCATCCTGGGAGGTTCATTTTTAATCACTTTAGTGGTATGACATTACTGTTTCCCACAGCATAATTTCTAATATCTAGCATGGTAATAGGAATGGCCCATGTCAGGTAATCAAAGAGATACTAAGAAACATATTAGCACCCTAAGTCATGTGATTATTTTGGTTATCGTGGTTTATTTTAAATGAGCACAAGTTTTAAATTTTAATTTTAAATAAGAGTACAAGATGAACATGACTTGTCATCAACCATCTTCAAACATGAAATCTATTCACTTTCTACTTGGATACTTTGTATTTTCAAAAACTGATTTCAAAAATCTTTAAATTATGACCAAAAAAATGGAAAGGAATTGTTAATGTGGTAGTTTGGAGAAGAGTCCTTTCATTGGTTCCTGTGGAGATGCTATGGGCTGAATTATGTGTGCCACTGCTCCCTGGCTGCTATTGATATGATGAAGCCCTGATTTCCTGCATCTCAGAATGCGACTATATTTGGAGTTAGGGCATTTACAGAGGCGGTTAAGTTAAAATGAGAATGTTAGGGTGGGCCCTGGTCCAATATTACTGGTGTCCTTATAAAAAGAGGAAATTCAGATACACAGACATACACCAGGAATATGCATACCCCAAAGGAAAGACCATGTGAGGACACAAGGAGAAGGCAACCATCTACAAGCCAAGGAGAGACACCTCGGAAGAAACCAAACCCCTCAATTCCTTGATCTTGGACTTTTAGCTTACAGAACTGTGAGAAAATAAATTTATTTTGTTTAAGCCAGTTTTAATACTCAGTCTAGTATTTAGTTATTGCAGCCCTAGCAAACTAATCCATGAAATTATCTTTTCTTATGTTAGAGGCTGAAGCATGGGATGCCATTGAATTTGCTTACAGAAGTTCTAATTCCAGACTCTCAAAACATAGGGCAGGGGCGCCTGGGTGGCTCAGTTGGTTAAGCATCTGCCTTCGGCTCAGGTCATGATCCCAGGGTCCTGGGATCGAGCCCTGTGTTGGGCTCCCTACTCAGCAGGGAGCCTGCTTCTCACTCTTCTCCCTGCCTGTGCTCTTTCTCACTATCTCTGTCTCTCTCTCTCAAATAAATAAATAAAATCTTAAAAAAAAAAAAGAGACTTCTTTAAAAAAAAACATAGGGCAGATAAAGAAACTTGACTCTGATTGCTATTTGGCTGCTATGATCACGGAAAAGC